TATTCGAATAAAGACGCTAAAAGGAACTCGTAAAATGCGGTAAAACGTCATCGCCGACTCGTGTCACGACAGGATTGGTCGAGTCTGGACCAATAGTGAACGAGCAGCCGAACTACTTACATGCTACTGAGTTTAGGCGGATAAGTTGAGTGTTACTATCGTCTGTACAGTATATCAAGTACGTACTGTAAGTCTAATACAGTACAGTAATTTTATACATTTCTTGTAAAAAAACATTTTTTATTCAACCGCCATAGAAATTGTTTCTATTAATGATGTCTCGGAAGTTCAGCGAATTTTTCGCAGAAAAATAACTTATCAGAAAACGCTCCCGCCGTTAGGTACGCTGCTCCGCGACGAAAACAAGCAATGGCGCGGTCGAACGGTGCACACTCGGTAAGTAATCCTACAATTTTTTGTTTATATCATGGTTTATACAGATTATTCAAAAAAAATTATACGTGTTTTGGAAATGTGAGTCAAATTAGTCTAGAATCGATTAATTTTATGGAAGAAAACCTTTGAAACAGCCGTAGTCCATAAACTACACACGTGCCGGGCTGTGATTGGCTCATGTATTTAAGGATTCCTACAACGTGGAATTCTTATAAACTGGAACGTATCTACCGCGTTCTAGAAGGTCGGCTATACTAGAAATGACTGTATAACATTACCGCGTATCGATTTTCTTCTGTTGATTTGTTGTAAAATATATTGTTTAGGTACTTAACTTTTAAAAGTATAATATAATTTGATGTTTAATAAACTTTTCCTTAATTTTTCTATATTATTTGACAATTTTGCTTATCCATAGTTTTGCCCTACTGTTTAGGTTGGATAATCCAGACACTACTGTATATGTAAAATCATATTTTAAAAACCCATATTTAACAAAAATTAAAAAAATACAACGTGGAAACAAAGAGTCAATCGAAAAATCCAGAACCGGGTTTTAAAATCTGCTCATGACAGGTCTCGTTCTCATTCTTCAATTTTCTTTGGCAGTGTTTTTCAACCTTCTTGTATACGCGACCCGTTTACAACTTAAAAAATTTTTGCGACCCCCTAGGGCCATATTAAAACTGTATCAGTGATTTTAAAAACTATTTATTTATTTTTCTTTCTGTTGAGACAGATTATTGTTGATTAAAACGAAAGTTTCAGGAGAATCGACAATAACTTAACACACGTAAGGTATGAAACTTCCTTTAATTATAAAATTGGGCACAGGGACCTGTTGACCTTTTTCTTTTAGGATCAAAATTTTACTTTCTACTTTTGTACTTTCTACTTTTAGATTCTACTTTTGTACTTGTTATTTCTTTTTGCAAATCAGCTCAACACTTTTGCTGCTATGATTTTCTGGGGTGGGCCGTATCCACCCAGGTCCCTCCCTGGCTACACCCATGGTTGAGACCTAACAATCGATCAAAAAATTAATTGTACTGTAAAATAAACACGTACAGCCTTCGCGCTAAAATTGTAGTTTTTTAATGTAGTGTAGGACCTACAAACACTTGTCTTTCTATACTTAATTTATTTCTATTAATTATTTATATTGTCT